CAAAGTTAATAATAATTCAATTCGAAGGATTTCTTTTAAATTAATACAAGACAAAAAAAAAATTAAACATATAAATACACATAAACGTTAGATTGATAAAACGGTAATAAATATTCGCTCTATAATCATTTATACGCGTATTTAAATTATTATACCTGAATTGATAACATATTTCTACATATTTTAACGTACATTACTATTACGCCATTTTTAAAAATAATTAAAAAAGAAAAAAAAAAGAAAGAATTAATTATAAATCAAACGTTATAAAGAAAAATAATCGTTGTGTATTATTATATATAATTTATATTAATTAAATGATTATATTACTTTATCGGAGATGCACACAACGACAATATAATATAATATATTTCTATGAGCTCGTTATTATTCTATATTCAAATTGAATATTATTTACAAATACGTTAGTAAACATACTAACATCGTCTTGCATATTATTCAATTTTCATCTTATATATTTTACTATAATAGATTTTTTGCGAAAATTATACACAACACGCATACTCATGCACACACATTAAACGTAATCTTTAACCTCGAAACTTTTATACGAAGAAGTATACTTTTAAAAAAAAATTATAAACGCACGTACGTACATAATACGTCTTCAATACTCGAAACTGGACGGAATTGTTTTTTTTTTTTTTTGTTAAAGATTATAGATAATAAGGCATAATCTATAAGTTACATATAAACATCTATTATGTTGCACATTGCCACTATAAAAATGCGTTATTTCTTACTAGATTAATATTCTTTGATTATAGTAATCTGCAGGCGCTCTTTACGAAATTCTTTTTTTTATGATTTCTCGTTTTACCTCCTGACCTTAAAACTATGGTGCCGTTTCCGCTATTACGACAACACGTTGATCCGTTGGGACTAAAGGCACCTACGAACATAATAAAAACAAAATAAAACAAACAAATTCGATTAACAATTTTGTAATCTGTAATATAAGAAAAATTAATTATTAATAAAAAAGGAATAATTCTATTATGTGAGTTTTTTTTTTTTGTAAATTATGTGTGATTGAATATAATACGAAAAACAAAAACAAATAAATTGTATCTATTTCTAAAAAACAAAAAAAACAACACAATTATTTTATTATAATATTTTATAATAATATAATCGTTATAAAATCTTAGTTCTTTTTTTTCTTTCTTTCTTTTTGTAAAACAACGATTCCAAAAATAAATGGTCACTCACTTATTACAGAAGGTGATCTAGGTCCTGTAGAATACAACCTTAAATCTTCCTGATAATCGTTATCGTTACGACGCATTTCGTGCAAACAACGCGATGCCAAATGTCGGAACACGCTCATAACACCGACATCTTCTTTCACGGATGTTCGTAATAATTTACATCCAAGTGCACGGCCAAGCCTCTCAGCTTCGTCCCTGAAACAATGTTTTACTTTTTTTTAATTTAATTAATAAATGTTTTTTTTAAAAAACAAGAACAGAAAAAATGAGGCAGACAAAATAACGAGGACAAATTTGGCATATTAATAATTGAATGAAATATTCGACAAAATAACAAATAATTAACTCACAAATTATTCACAGAAAAAGAAGAAGAAAGAGAAAATAAATATTAAATAATTAAATATAATATTTAAAAAAAAAAAGTAATGTCCAAGTTTTTCAATTTATAGTAATCATGCACAGAAGAAGATGAAGATGAAGAAAATAAATATTATATAAGTAAATATAATATTTAAGAAAAAAAAAAAAGAAAAGTAATAAATAAGTTTTTCAAATTTATGATAAAAACAATAAAAAAAAGAAAAGAGAAAGAATTAATATTAGAAAAAATTAAATAATCTTTTCACTTACGGACCAATCACGCATTGATCGACCAAATCCATTTTGTTCTGTACGAGTACCGTTGGTATTTCCCCGCATTCATTTTCTACCTGAAATAAAATATAAATAAGAGAAAATAAATGAATAAATAAATTTCAAAATGACGTTACAAAGTGAAGATATGAAATACACATAACGAAGAATTTTATAACAACGTTCGCGGTTTATATATCTTTACAGGTGTCATCTCCAAAAAATTTCTTCTCACTCATTCACTTTTTTTTCTTCTTCTTGATTAATGTATGAGCCTAATAAATGATTCAACTTTTAAATGACATCATTTTCGTTTTAATAACGGTGTATGATAAAAATAAAATAAAAAATTGAAATAAAACAAAATAAAATAAAATAAGATAAAAGAAGATGAAAATAAAGATGAATAAGATGAATAAGAAGAAGAAGAAGAAGAATGTTCGTATATATATGTATATATATTCTGGTGCAATGACTATGTTATAAAATACCAGATAATTCGGTGTAAAACGAAGGAAAGGCTTCGTTACTGAAACGATAACGGTTACGTGTATCCTCTACCACAATCCGTCCACGAGAAAGGAGATAGAAAGGATGGAGAACACGCGTATCTGTCTCGTCGATTCGCATTAAACGTTCAAGCAAACGCGAGCTTCGTTCTCGTGAACGCGATTATCTACATCCTTCTTCTCTTCAAGATTATACAAGCATAACACACTCGCATAATATCATCTTCTTATATATATATATATATTTACACACATATAATATTAAGTATCTTTATCTTTCTTTCAACGCGCGTAATTATTTCAAACGTCATACGATCTTGTATACGTCAATATATTATACAGGTATGTATAATATGATTCTTTTTTTTTTTAATTTAATTTTAAAAAATAAAGAAGAAGAAGAGAAAATTTTTCTTTTAAATTGATTTTTAGTAAATATCTATATATTTTTGTAGGGTGGTCTACCAATTATTTAGCACCTAAATATTTTCTCGTTATTTTGTTATAATATAGAAAAAAAATATTAAATACATAATTTTTATATTACGAAGAGGTACATATAAGTTAGTGTAAATATTTTATATTACCACTAACTCACTAAAGTACTTTACTATTCTACCAAAGGTAGTGTAAATATTTTATATTACCATTATCAGAATAATTTATATATTTTACTTCGAAAAAAAAAAAAGAAATTCTTTTTAAGAATATTTTAAATATATATATATAGATACCTTTAATTTCCAGGAAGGAATAGCGTCAAAAGAATTTCTATCGGTGGCAGAATATGCAAGGACACAAGCATGAGCGCCACGATAATAAGCGGCCGTTATGGCGTCGAACTCTTCCTGACCCGCGGTGTCCCATAACATCAATCTCACGTCTTCGCCATCTACCCTGCGAATAAAAAAGAGAACGACGAATTTTGTCAACGTAACGATGACGTCGGTAGAAAATAATATTATCATTGTCATCGTGCAAGATCGAATCGTTAAGATTACAAAAATACATTGTACAAAATTATTATTATTATTATTATTATTGTACGCGAAGAAAGAAAAGAAAAATGAAAAATGGTTTTCCTTTAGTGATCGTGCTAATTCGATATAAAAAAAAAAAAAAAATAAGGAATAAACGAGGTGAGAAGGAGAGTGGATAGAAAAGAGCGTGGGGGTTGTTGAGAAGGGGAAAAAAAAAAAGAAAATTAATAAAAATATCTTACTCTATTTCTCGTTCGAGAAAATCAACGCCAATGGTCTTCTTATAATCCCTGGTATAAGTACCCTTGCAAAACCTTTGAATCATTGAAGATTTTCCCACAGCGCCATTACCGACTATCACCACCTGCGGAAACGTTTAATTGTTAAAAGAAAATAAATAATAAGAGAATAAGGATTTTTAACAACCAACTGAACAAAATTTACTTGGTCATTCTTCTATCGATATTTTATACGTATACACACACACACATACGTGTACGTGTGCTAACCCACACATTGATATAAACACAAGGAGACACATAGATACATATCTATCCTAAGTAAGTACACTTATACATTATATGAGGGCTACAATGAATCATCCTAACGTCGTTCTAACCACCAGAAACGAGGACGTTCAACCCTCATGAAATCTCGATCGATTCCCTCGAGAAACGAAAGAACCTAATTAAAGCGAAAACCTAAAGGCCACCGCTTTACAATTCTTATCGTTCGAACGAGTTCTTAATTACACACCAATTTAATTGGCTTTAACACTAACGAGCTATGTTTTTGTAAAAGAAAATGTTGAAAAAGAAAAAAAACACATAGCATCAAACAATAAAATATAATATAACAAAAAAAAGAGAACCCCCCGAAATATAAAAATAAAGTAATAAAATTGAAGTAATAAAAACATAATCGTTAGACGATAGAAGTAACATCGTTAACACGAGTCAAAAGAAGATCTGAATCTAACGGTTTATTATCTTATGGGACACTTTCATACTCACACGTATAAATTTACACTCGTTACATACGTATTTTGATTCTGATCAAAAAATTCGATTAATCACAAATGATCAAATGATTATCTTCTTCTTTTTTTTTATTTTTTCCTTTCTCGTTGATTTACTTCAAAGAAGATGTGAAATTTATTCGTGAAAATAATAATTATTAGAAACGTATTTTTCTTCGATTAAAAAAAAAGAAAGAAAGAAAGAAAGAAAAAACGCGAAGCTTTTTAAAAGACGTTTAAAATATAGACCAGATGTTACAACGAAACGTGAAAGCAAGTTTTAAAAGTAAAGTAAACGAGATAATAATTGAAGAAAAATGTGATGAAAGAAAAGAAAAAGAAAAGAAAAAGAAAAAAAAGAACAAACGAAAAAAATAATAAAATATATCATCCACCTTCTCGTTTCTCTAATTCTCGAGAAATCGAGTAGTGATTTCGTGAAATCGATCCTACTAGTTTTCCACTTTGTAAACTTGATGTTACTTATAAATAACCAGGTACACTAGTTCATTCCTTCTCGAAGATCGATCATACTACACGAGTCATAAGAAGAATTTTTCTCTGATCATTACGATAGTAACGTTTCAAGTAGGATTTTATATATACTTAACGCCATATATTCTCGAATTAACGCAGGGGGCAGGGGGTAGAGCGAGAAGGGGGAAGGGGGAAACAACTTTCTACCCACTTCTCAATGATTACTCTTTTTCTTAGCGGTATTATAAATCAGTATAATGTGTCATTCAAGAATAAATGTCAAGTAACTCTCGTAAATACGAAGATAAAAGGAACAAAAATAAAAAAAGAAAAAAAAAAGAATAAGAATGTGTGTACATACATTTAATAAAACAAATTCATTCGCGTATAATATTCAAAATTATATATTATTAAAATTGATCATTCATGATCAACGAACGAAATGAAACAGTTATATATATATATATATATTTAAAAATGCAAAAAGTAAATAAAAAATATTATAATCGATGTCACTTAATTGATCAATTGGTTAGTTCGCATATATTAATTAACATTAATTAAAATTCGTTTCGCGTGAAAATAAAAATATTCGATAATAAATCAACAATAAATTAAGGAAAAATATAAAAATACGAGTTCATCAAATATTCTTCCTTTTTGTTTTTTTTTGTTCGAATGTGGAAATATACTCGGGACACGTTAGCTACGTTTTACCAGAGCGTGCCGATAAGAAAAACTCAGGCTTACGAGTTTCGCTCATTAACTATCCCTCGCACGTTCGAAACCTTGCCCTTGAAACTCCACCACAGTACCCCCTTGTCGTCTTCGTCTTCGTCTACGTCGTTGTCATCGTCGTCGTCGTCGTCGTACCTTTCGATTAGAGACCTCACATATTTCCGCGCGAACCTTAAGGATATAGTTGAAAGAAAACAAAAAAAAAGAAAAAAAAGGAAAAATGCAAAAGAATGAAATTCTTAGAAAAACGAAGTCAACGAGTTTTGTTTTATTTTTTATTTTCAAGTCACGGTTCTACGATCACCATCAGCATCGCCCATCACGTTCAACGACTTATCGAAGTATTATTTTACGATATATATGTGAAAGATTTTAAATTATATCGAAGAAATTTCTACGACAATTTTACGATATATATGTAATTACAATTTAGGAGTATTTTTATAAACGTTTAAAAAAATTTTTCCATTATAATTAATTATTAATATAATATTCCAAGTAATATTGAAATAATTGAGAAAGAAATAAAATAAGAAAATCATATGGTAAATAATCGTTAAATTAAAATAGTCACGCTCTTATGATTGCAATGTAGAATATCTTAACCTGTGATATAAACACATGGAACCGGTATGAAACGAAAGGAGACAATTTCGAGACGCGTTAGTTTTTCTTTGGTATGAACATACGCTTTCCCGGCCGGTTTAGATGCCATCCACCTCTCTTTCCTGTCTTACGAACGTAATTACACAGAGAAACAGACAGATAGAGACGGATAGACAACGTGTATATACATACACACGTATACTTTGAGAAATAAATTAACAAAGTAATCAAAATAAAATTAAATACGTACACATATTTTATAAAAACCAATAAAACAAATATACATGCATATACTACCTATCTGTAAATTACAACAAACAAAATGGAATAAAATAAGAAATATATATAAATAAAAAAAAAAAAAATCATAGTAAAATTATAGGACAACGTTTGCCTTCGAATCGTATTTTTTTTTTTTTTTTTTTTTTCATTTTTTCACACATTATTTTTTCTTCTTTTCATTTTGTTTCTTTTTACCTTGAGCGATAACTCGAGTTCTTCCTCCCGCATTCTGACCGTAACGCGATTAGCATAATATCCAGCCACGATACATGGTGCCCTCCTCCACTTCTTTGAACTCTCCTCTTCCGTTCTACTCGTAAGTAAATTCGTCCTCCTCACGACGAAGGAGGAGCTAAGATTCACCATCGACGATCGCTACTTTCTCGATAAACCAAATCGGCCACGTCGTCGCGCCTCGATCGCCTCATTATCGCGTTATTTCGATTTCGACGCTACTGTGCGCGGCCTTTTACCTGTTCCTACCTTCCTATGTATCCTCTCTTTCTATCTTTTTATATATCAGAAATAACTCTCTCTATATATATATATATATATGCGTATATATATTTCTTTCTCTTTTTAAAAACCGATTAAGGTAAAGAAACAAAAAAAAACAAGCTCCAGATCACAGAATACACGTATAATATATTCACACTACGAGTTGTATTATAGTTATACGCAAGGAATGAATGAACGAATGAAAGAAAGAACGAATAAACTATGGAAAAATTAACGATACACGAAATTATTCTATGAGGAAGAGCGCAACCCACAGAACACAACCACACTGCGCGGGTCTACGATCGACTGAACACCTGTGGAGAAAAGCACCTGCTCCTGCGAACGAGCAACATGATAGCCAAACACGTATGGTGAATTCACGGCCTAGTGACATTTTCGATTCTCTCACAACCACGCCTCGATGCGATTTTACCCTGTAACCTTGAATAGGTAGGACGTCCTCCATATTTATTTTTTGTTCTCTTCTTCATCGGACGATGATCTTTTTCTTTTTATTACTTTTTCTTTCCCTTTTTATTTTCGTTGTTGTTATTTTTCTTCTGTTTCCTTCTTGTACTGTACGATGATGCTCTTCTTTTGACGAAATTTTGTTATATAACAAATATAAAAAATTATGCATCGTAATATAACGTTACATTTATTAAATTATCCTCTTCAATTGTCATCTCGATGATTTTTTAATTATTATTATTAATATTATTGTTTATATATTATAATATAATATTGTAATTTTATATATTGGTTTTGTCTTTAAAACAGAAAAGATTGAAAATCGTTATAATTATTCAAAGAAAATATTATAACGAGTTATGGAAACAAATTAATAAAGATGGGTTCTCTTAAAAGGGCCGGAATCCATTCGATTTACTAGAGACCTCTTTCGATGTTAGTTTTCTACCTTACCGATACTGGATCTAGATTGAATTTAAGACTAACAATAAGTTTATTATTATATAATTCGAAAAAAGGAAATATACAAAAAATATTAAAATGCGATCATTAAGCTCGCTAGTGCTTACGTTATACAATTTACAAATAATCTAAATGTTTATATACATAAGCAATACTGAGTACTCAGATCTCATCACGTGGAGATACTTAATATATCATAATTAATAAAAATTAAAAAAAAAAACATTCTTTTTTTTAATATAATACACCTTTGCTCTGTTAATTTGTTAACATTACCGAATCCAATTACATACTAAAAAATAATAGTAGGTCACAGGATATATACTCACTGTTAACATATTCAGTACAATTAGAAATTTGTGTTGATTTTAACATTGTACAAACAATTATATACATAATCGTTAATCTCGTACAATATTCTCTTTTACTTATACGCGTATCGATTAATTAATATTCAAAACGATTATCGTACGAATTAAAAATACATGTATAATATCAATGTATATTGTACAAGAGAGAATGTTACAATATGTAAATCACAATTCGTGATTCGATTACGAAAAATTAATATCATGAAAAATCATTCGTAAAATCAAATATTTATGCGATCAACGCATAATTTAAATGAAAAATATATTAAAAATTGATCATTGTAATCTGAAATATATTTATTTGCCGGTCATTCCTTACGACTCATACCTGATTGGTTACGCTCTTGTTACGCATTGGTCACGTGATACAATATACTCACGGATACGTAATTCAAATGAAACTCGTAAGAATACTCTGAGAAATCGTAATTAAAATAAAAATTAAAAGAAATAATAAATAATTCTAATTTTCTCGTTAATATCAATAAAACTGAGATGAATTTGGATTGATTTCTACTGATGTGTAATATTGGGATGAGTGAGAGCACAGTATAAAAACATAATACATATTTTTTGTTTAGTGCTATTATATATAGATGTCATAATATATTAGATTACAAGTTTTGAGACGATTCTTTGCAGAGGAAGAAAAACAAAAAATTGATACAAAAAAAAAAAAAAAAGATTGAAAAAAAAAATTAAAAAAGAATATTAGGTACAGCAATAATTTAAACGGTATTCAGTTGTTTTCTTTTTCCATCATACGTAACAAAATAATAGTACAAATACTATAAGAACTTACACACATGATCATCTTACTTATATAAACTCTTTTCTCTCTCTCGCTCTCGCTCTCTCTCTCTCTCTCTCTCTCTAAAGATTACTAAATAATTAAAATATTATAAAGGCATTATCATATGTATATGTATAAATTGTAAACTATTTAAACGAATAAAATAAGTAGTATAAAGCATACACAAAGCATCAGTATTTTAATTAATATTCTATCGAGGCATTCAATGAGTCTCGTCGATTTTGACACCATCATCCACCATCAACGCATTTTAAAACACATGAAGCCTATAAATATATTATCCCATCGTTTTACAATATCTATACCGGGACTATCGTTCGTTCCTCCGTCGTTGGAAATGTTTATTTTTTTTTTTTTTTAAATATTATTATTATTATTATTATTATTATTATTAATATTACAAATCGTTCACAAATAGTGCGCGCGTGTTTGCTGAGCACAAACAACAATAGAACGAGGAAGAGAAGAAAATTGAAATTATGATAATTATATGACAGCGGATTGAGACGATAAATTGAAAAAATTATTTTATAATTTATTTTATATTACAATTATTTATGCTATAAGATAAATAATAAAAATAAAATGTTTTTCAATTTATTGACTCAGTCCGCTGTTATAATTAACGGCACATTTATAATAATGAAGGAAGACAAAATGTTGAAAGTATATAGGTAGAGAGATCTTATGTGAAAATTGTAATAAACGAATAAAAAATCGTAAAATACAATATATATATATATAGGTGTGTTAGTGTGTGTTTGTATGCATTTACTATGTATAGATATACTGGTTGGTACAAGACACAACATCTATCTTTGTGGT